TGGGGAAAAGGGGGGCCCCCTTCCCCCCCCCCCCCCCCCCCCCGCCCCCGGCAGGCATCTCCGCTTCCGGAAGGCGCCCGGTCATTCCTGCCTGGGACACTCACACTGCTCTCCCTTAGGCACGCTGCCTGCCCTCTCGGCCTACCCGCACCCAAGCCTTCATCAAGTTCCCCACTCAGCCAACACTAACAACGCACCCTCATCTCAGAACTTCCATCCTAAGCCGACAGTTTATGATGGTGGGCCTCTGAGCGCCTTGGTTTCCGAGACGGCAAACGGACGTGTGCAGACCCCTGCCAACTCTGCGCTATGGGTTTCACCTGCATGCAGATGCTTTCATGGAAAGCAGTTAGGGTTCTGGCGAAGAGATCGGCTCTGGAGCAGATGTGAGAGACCACAGCTCCTCAGTCCGTAACACCTACTTCAGGATGTGTGCTTAGAGCAGTGCTGAGCCAGAAGTGTTCAGTAAGTGTTAGCCAATCATTAAGACAGGCATGCTTAAGGGTTTTACAGGAACTTACTTTAATAGGTGTATATAGAAAGCACAACTACTAATATGTGAGAATTTCTGCTCCATTCAAGGCTAACACTTAGCCTTGAATTCTGGTATTTGCATCGCTGCATGATATATTTCATGTGCTTGTGATGCTGCTGCAGTGAACATTCTTGTACATATATTTTCCCTCATGAGTAAGTGAACCTGTACAATAAATTCCTGAAAGTGAAATTACTGGGTCAAAAGGTATGTACATTTAAATTCCCGACAGATGCCACTGCCGTGCCTTCTAAAGAGGCTGCCCTAGTCACCCTCCCCCCAGCGCTGCAGGAGGAGGCCTGTTTCCCCACACTCGCCCTGACTGTTTATCACCAAATTTTCTGACCCTTGGAAATATGAAAAGTTCAATGCTGTGGCTACAAGGGATTGCATCCAGAATATATGGAGAACTCTTAAAAGTCAACAATAAAACAAACAAACAAACAACCTGTTTTAAAAGTGGGCACAGGACCTGAGTAGACATTTCTCCAGAGAAGACATATGAATGAAGAGATATGAATGACCAATAAGTACAGAAAATATGTCCCAGGTCACTAATGATCAGAGAAATACAAACCAAAACTACAATGAGACCTTATACGCATTAGAATGGCTACTATTAACACACAGAATAAAAATGCTGTGGGGCATTTACACCAGGGAATACTACGCAGCTGTAAAAGAGAGGGATCTCTTACCCTTTGGGACAGCATGGAGGGGCCTGGAGAGCATTATGCTAAGTGAAATAAGCCAGTCAGAGAAAGACAAGTATCACATGATTTCACTTATTTGTGGAATTTAATGAACAAAATAAATTTACCAATAAAATAAGACCCAAAGCCTTGAAGGCATGGAACAGACTGACATACCTTGATGTGGCCT